CTCTCTCTCTCTCTCTCTCTCTCTCTCTCTCTCTCTCTCTCTCTCTCTCTCTCTGTGCGTGTGTGTGTGTGTGTGTGTGTGTGTGTGTGTGTGTGCGTCTCCCCAATCTGCAGCCGTTTTACGAAATGGAAATCCACGTCCCCAACTACAACATGCAAGTGAAATGACTGAGCACTGGCATGACTGGCGAAGTGCGATGTCAGGCAGGAACACAGGCGGTTTGGACCTTACTCTTGCATCCAAAGGAGTAAAGGGTGGATGATTTCAAATTCCTAAGGAGGAAGATTTCACAAACTTATTATTAGTATTAGTATTATTATTATCATTATTATTATTCTCGGCGTCGACACAGTAACACAGGTCATCGCTCCACGTGTCTAGTTGCAATTTTTTTTTTTCCTTTTCATTTTTTGTTCTCCCCCCCCCCCGTCTCTCTACTTTCTAATGTATCAACTTCTTAGCAGTCAGATTGCATCTGTTGGCTTTTGCCGTTCACTGGTGACCAGTGACGGCATTTCCCTGCCAAATATCTGTCATTCATGCCGCTGATTAAGGTCACTACCGTCTCCACCCGAGTAGAACGGCTGGTCATTACAGCTGTATTTGGTGCAATTTTCAGTCTAGGTACGGTGATAATGACTGGGTGTTCTATTCGGGTGAAGATGGTAGTGTGGATTACTGCGCCTGGTGTGATCGGGGGCAATCACTAAGTTCTTGACAGTTAGCTGCATCTTCCGTTTCTATATCGCTGCCCTTTCGGGTAAATGTTAAAACTTGCTATATTATGTATCTGTGGAAAGAGAATCTGTCTAGTGTTTCTGTTCCAGTTGTCTGACCACATTCACATGTGAAGAACCAAATGGCAGATTCTGAGTCTGGTGCATTGCATTCTTACCGTTTACTTGTCTCATCATTTCACTTCTTTCTGCGTTCTTCTTGTTGGTGGAACTTGAGGGAAAAAAAAGTTAGAAAAAGAAAAGGCGAGACTTTGTCACTTTGGTTTTCATTTAATTTTTCTATTCTCTTGTTACTTCGGTTATTGTTAAACTACCTCTGTCACCCGAATACAACACCTGGTCGGTATAGCTGTATTTGGGCCAATTTTCGGAATAGATGCAGCAATAATGAGCGGGTGTTCTATTTGTGCGAAGACGGTTTGTCGAGGGCTCCAGCAAAGCATATGCAAGCGGCATGGTATTCGGCAATCACTTGGGCTAGTGCAAAAAGACTAGCAAGGACAGAGACACCTACTGCGGTTATTTGTTATTTGATTGCTGGAGGAGTGAAGCGAGGTTTCGCCATCCAAGAGTTTAACAGTGTGTTTTCTTTCTTGTGCTTTGTGTGATCATTGCTTTGTCGACTCTACTAATCTCCTTGTTGATGTCTATTAGTGGGGAGCGGTATCTGCTGGAAAATGGGTCCAACGACGGACCCCCCCCCTACGGTGCTAGCGATGTCTGCTCTTATCAGCACCCCTAGCACCCAGACGGGTGTGTTGTTAAAAAAAAAAAAAGAGAGAGTACATGGTTCTTGTAACTTGAGTTCCTTCAGAGTGGGTTGCTAGCAATTTGGTCTCAAAGCGGTTCTCTGTGAAGAGGGCTACGTCGTGATGGGAGCAGAGGTGGGGTGCCGATCATTGCTGAGCGCCAGCGTGGCTGACCTCTTGCCGAAGTTCTCATCTGCAGGGTTGAGGGCAGATGGGAGGAAGGGCGAAGAGATTTAGTGGGAGTTATGATCGTAGCTGATGGGGCTGTGCTTGACAACATTGAGCTGTTTGTGAATTGGTCTCCGCTACTTCAGCATTGATGGGTCGTCATCAAGTGACACCAACAGCAACAATAGTCAGTGAGTTTTATTGGGTGTGATTTGGCTAGTGAGGCAAGTGTTGATGACCCTATCTTTCCTGTCTGGCTGTTTTCTTATCGCGAGGACGAGGGTTTTTCTGGAACGAGGTCTCAATTGTGAGGGGTGAGAACGAGGTCTCAATTGTGAGGGGCAAACGACGTTCACCCTCGACAATCATCCCAGTTCCTAACCCGAAGCATGCCGTCATTCCATTGTTGAATGCATGATGTTATGTACATCATTACACATCTCGTTTCTCTGTGTTACGTGTGTGCATGGTTGGGCGTGGGATGGGGAAGAGGAGGGTGGCGAGAGGAGGGAATTCAGAAAAGATGAGAGCTAGATGTGTCCAAATCCGAACAAAAAAGAAAAAAAAAGGAAAATTTAAAGGCCTTTTGAATTGTTGACCTCAACATGCGAAAATGCATATGCTTTCTCAACTCCACATTTTTCTTTTCTGTGGTACATTAAAAAAAAAGGATGAATCAATCAATTGAGTGCATGCTCTTCTCTCCTTTGTCTGTCATGTTTTGGACATTGTGACAATAATCCGATTAAAATGTTTGTCTTATGTGTATGATGGATGTATGCCTTTTTTCCAAAT